CCACTTATGCACACAACAAAAAAAGCAAAGTAGCAAACACACCTTCGAGAAAACTTCAATGGAGTAATAATACTGGCGATTTGAGGGATTTATCTTAGGCCAAACCCTAAAGACAAAAACACACAGAAGACATTACCTTTGTATCGAAATTAATCGCCTTTCGCATAATGGATGTAATTAATCGACAATTGAACAATTCAGAACGAGGAAAAATGTAGGGATTTTTGAGCGGCTTTGAAGTAATCTCTTCTTGAATAACTGATGCATTGGATTAGAGAGTATTGACAATGATTTGAGATAAATTAAAATGGCAAACAATTCAAGAGAAAACAGAAGATTGATGAGAGAACTTACTACAGAGAGCAGTCTGGGGTGGTTCTTCTAGGGCTTCTTTATTCAGATATATTTTTTTTTTTTTTTCGAGATATTTATATCCTTGTTGTAAAGCAAGAGGAGGTGGGGAACGGGTGAAAAATGGCTTAAATATAGAGAAAGGAAAATGTTTTATTATTATATTCTACGTTACGGAAGCATTTCGTCGGGTCAACTATCCGCGACGATTACATGATGATCTACCGGTTACAAATTTCAACGGAATGATTCTGTAACGGGACTGTAACATTTCCTATTATTATTATTATTATTATTATTATTATTATTGAAAATTTTGTTTAGTTGTAATTAAATAAGATATATAAAACCAACACGGGTTGACTCAAGTGGTAAGCAGCTTGATGTCGCTTAAGCAAGGTTTCAGGTTCTGAGTCCTTGTGGATGCAGAAAATCCTTGTTGAGAGACTTACCCACTACTGCTAGGTGTGCGACCCGGGTCGACCAGCGGATTAGTCGGAGCATAGCTTCGAATACCGTGACTGGCTACCAAAAAAAATAAAGATATATAAAATAATTCTTCTATGAAATGTGAAACTGATTAATTAAACTAGTCAGTTCCTCGTACATTTTTTTAATAATAAAAACACGTGAAATATTAGTATTTTTATTTATAATAAATATTTTACAAAATGTAAGTTTTAATTTATTTAAAAATATTAAAAAGTGCAATTACCTCCGTTAACATCAATAAAATGCTGGTGTTTGCACAACACAAACGCCATGCCCCACTTTTATGAGAAATATCTAGGATTTCACTTTGAAATATGCTATTTGTACAACTTTTTTGTACAAAAAAGTTTGACAACATGATGTAGGAAGATGTGGGTGGTTGAGATGTAAATAAATATATGATTGAGATTTGAGTGGATGATATTTTTAACTAAGTTGTCAATCAATATTGTCAACCAATGTTGTACATGTAGCATTGTCCTTTTACTTTTCAGAGTACGGATAACGCATGGATGCATCCGCATAACATAAACTAGTCGACAAATCCTTCTAGATAGTCAATCGTCCTACACTTGATAGCGAACTAAAATTTTGTCACCAAAATGCACCCAAGAGCTATTGTACCTTACATTTTTAGTAGTTGTTACAATGATAAAGAGTGAAATATTATTAAATAAATAAAATATCAATTAATTTAAAGGTGATAGGAATCTACCAAATAATCTTGATTAAAATAAAGGTAATTGGTTTTCTTTGAATTTTCGAATCTCGTCTGACCTTCTTGTTCGAGAATGGAAGAAGCATCAGAAGGCATCCTGACGTAGAGCCACAGACGATCAAGTCAGTCGTTGTGGCCTATAATATGTGTATAGTAATTCATAAAATGTAATGAAATAGCGACGATAATACATTAGCCTTTATACGAAATAGTTGCTTTGTCCTGCAAGAATTTTTTCTTCTAAATAAACTAGATATTCACATGCCTTTTTGAGCTAGATTTCTTTCCAGATTTTCAAATCATTAGGATATTTGCAACCATATCAATATTAGACGTCCCACGATCAACGTCTCTATCTGTTCACTAGGTCGCCTTCCCAAACGAGGTATTACCCTCTAAGCATGGCGTGTTTGTTTGGTATCAACTCGCTAATCGAGGACTTAGGTTGCTTAGGCCCCAAGTCGATCTCCTGTCTTTATACCTCGACCTATTGCATCTAAGTAGAGCTAAGGGAGATTTATTGGTGTTCCAGTCCAGGATCGAGCTTTTATGCTATATAACGC